GGTGTATATATAGAAAAAAAAAAAAATTATGTTCCCCCTTTTCTGTTTTGTATATACAAACAAGATATATATATATATATATATATATATATACATATTTAGATAGATATATATATATACACAGAGACACTCTCACGCGGAAACTTACAGGCAAGTTAAGAAAGAAAATGAAGTCCTTCACGCAGAATCTTTCTTGCGGAATATCGAGGATGAAATTCGACAAGAGCATCAGATGTAAGACCATCTCAGGCCAACGAAGTATGCTTAGCATACACAGATATATATATATATATATATATATATATATATATATATATATATATATACATATATATATATATATATATGAACATAATGCACTTTTCCCCCCTAAATTAAAAAAAAGGGATCCACCCCCCTTCGAAATATTGTTTTGGTTCACTTTGCTCCAAAAGTCAATTACTAGTGGACATGGTGCACCAAAAATAACATTTTAAAGGAGCAATGTGCGGAAGAATAATATTTTGAACAGGTAACGTGCAAGAAAAACACTCAATTCCGAAAAAATAATCCATCGGAATTTTGGTATATGGACAATGTGCAACAAGAATAACATTTTGAGGGGGACACTCACTTTTTAAAATTTAGAGGGGGTAAAATGCGAAAACTAGAAATTTATAGGGGGTGACGTGCAATTAAATTTGAACTATATTTGACAAAAAAAGAAATTGACAGGGGAGGAGTGGACAAATGCATCCATCAATCACACATGTTCAATATGCATGAACAGAAGTCCACATACTGGACTGAATAAGAAATTCACTTACGCTGAATTACAGCTGGCAACTAACGGTTTTTGCGCGCAAAACCTAATGCACGATCACGGAAGAAAAATATATTTCGGTTTACTAAACGATCAGAGAAAAGCTACGATCAGGAAAACCCCTTCAGGCACGATAAAAGACGAGGATTTCAAGAGAGAGATCGCGATTCTCGAGGGCGTAAAACACGAAAACGTAGCGTTTTTCATCGGACATTGTTTAGATGGACCCCAAGCGTGTCTTGTGTACGAATACGTTTGCGATGGTTCATTAAACAAACATCTATCGGGTAATTAAGAAGCTGATCATCGACTTCTCGATCTTATTTTTAACTTTCGAAATATTTTTCTTCTCGATTTAATTAGTCATATGATTTTATTACAGACAGAAGCAAGAAGCTGACATGGGATGTAAGACTAACACTACTAGAAATTTGCTATTTAGTGACGGACGGATTCGTTGCTACATAGACCAAATTCGTCGCTAATCACAATTTCGCGACAGATGAAACTCGTAACTAAATCCGTAGATAAACACCGCGTCGCTAAATTTTAGCTACGCCAGCATATAATCCGTCGCTAAGTTTAGCAACGGAGACATCCGTCGTAATGTCCGTTGCAACAATTGCGATTTGTTTGACAAATATTTCGTCACAATATCCGTCGCTAGGATTGTAGCAAAAATTCCATCACCAAATCTGTTGCTAGTTATGTACAGGGATATCCATTGCAAAATTCATCGCAAATTTTGTAATAATTTGAAAAAAATATTAAATATATAAATCTCACATTCTAATATTTCTTTTTAGCATATTATATAGCAATAATGGAATACACAAAACAAACACCACACTTTTCCAATTAACATAAAATTAAATCAAAAAAAAAAAAAAATTACCATTGCTAGAATCAATAATTACAATATCCATAACTTACAAAATTGCATTTTTGATAAATTTAATTTCGTCCAACATCAGTAATGAAAAACCATCCAAACAATTTCATAATTGTAGCATAACAATGTTGCTTCACCAGTTTTCCACTTATCTCCTGCTACAACCTTGGAGATATATTTTGGCGCTATTCCCATCCATCTAGTAGCACCTCAATAAAATATATTGGACTTGTCCCTATTCAAGCAAAGAAAACAAAAATAATTATAATCAGAAATATACATTTTTTACCTCCTACATCAAATCCATTAGCACTAGCAGTAAACTACTAATATAAGACACAAATATGAACATTCTCATGCATGATTACCTTTTGATCATGCATAGACTACTGACCGAACAAATTCTACACTCTGCCTGGTAATTCATTGATAATATGTTCATAAGACTTGTGTTTTTCACCTGCCAAAGTCAAATACCAGAAATAATCTACGTTATGATTAAGATTACAAGTGAAATAATAAGCTTAAACCTCAATGCCAACATTCTGAAATAAACCTCGGAAGTGTGAGACTTTGTGTTAACCAGGTTTGCAAGAATTGGTAAGAAATTCTGAAATAAAAAAATTCAGCACCCGGTTAGGCAAGCTGTGGAATTGACCAGCTAAAATATTTAATGCAGCAGCAAATCAAATACAATGATCAAGGAACCTCTGCAAGCACAATACCAACTATAACAATAATATAAGAAAACTATAGTAAACGAATGTCATACATGGTAAAGGTATGTAAAGCGCCCAAGAAACCACTTTAATCAGAACGGCATAAATTAATTACTATACTTAGTAGTAAGTTATAAAAGTATATATAACATAACATACCTTATAAGCTCCTCTATCGCAGTATATCAAAATCTAGCATGCCTGCGAAATAACAATATGCATATCATTAATGGAAATGATTGAACTCAACCACACCAAAATATAAACTAACCTGCAGTAGATATAAAAAATATAATAGGACAACGAGCAATCAACTTAAGTGAATCCTATTATGTTGGAATCCAATACCTATACATGATTAATTAACCATAAGAATTTCAATATCGGAATAAAATTTGATTAGAACATAAAGGTACAATCGCGGCCGGTAAACTCTTCTCATTTTTTAATAAATTCTTGAATCAACATAATCGACAGTAGTAAACTGAAAAAAAGCAAAAAAAAAATCAAAAAATGCTTAAATACAATAACAACAAACAAGAATAAAAGAGAACTTCTAGTTTAATTAAGGTTGTGACATAGTACATCTGCACATGCTAGCTAATAAATCTACATAAGTCCTTTATTAAACATTATTGGTTGTTCTATAACATTTGTTATCTATCTTCAATATGTGCCAAGGTGTACACTTCCTATTAGTATCAGAAGGTCTATGAGATCTGATAGTCGAGAATTGATGATCTACTGCTATGCTATTCTAAAGCAATGACATCAGTGAAAAATGCATATCAGCAACACCACTTCAAAGAGTTATTCAAATTCCAATACATGGAACACTCAAAATCCATATTTAATGATCACATTTCTTTCGAAAATCAATAAAATTGGAAAATAATTTTTGGAAAGATTGAACGTCTCTTCACTATCATCCTCTAGAAAAAATTGAAGTCTGAAACCCATCACTATTAATGGCACATAACCAAACAATTTCTAAAACATAAACACATTAAATAATCTAGCGTATTACAAAAACGGCGCAAAATATTGCAAGGGGCGGAAATCGCAGGGATTTTAGTAGCAGCCCAAATACCCAAGCAGCCCAAATACCCAATAAATTAGGGTTTTTACCTTACAGAACACTAAACACATAGAAACCACATAAAAATCTAGTTCATAAATATTAAGCAAAATGAATTTACCTAATCAAAATTAGGGTTATTTTAGATGTGAACACCTCTAACGATGGACGACTGCAGTCGTATTCTTTCCCAGCGGTTTGAGATCCAGTAGAAGTGGGAGTGCGCCTGTGAGAAAATCAATGATAGGCAACGACTGTGGCTTGTGGGAAATAAGAATGCGTCGGAAGATGGAAATTGGAAATCGGCGAACAGCTCCATTTAACGGCAATTGGAAATCGGCGACCACATGACGAATCGAGTCAGACAGCAAGACATGAGGACTGAGGCCGGCAAAGGGCTGAAGCGAGATTAGATTGGAAAAGGGAAGGATAGGGAACTGCAAAAGGGATGAAGACTTGTACGAAGGGTCGAGATATGTTAAATACTGTCAATAAATAAATTATAATAACTTACATAAATTTATTATTAGCAACGGATCGATCGTTAGTTGCTAAAGATGTTGCTACACAATAATTTTAGAAACGAATTTGTCATCTGTCACTAATGGCCATCGCTATTTCTGGCGTTCAATTAGAAAAGCAACAAATATGTCGCCCATCGCTAATTCTCTCGCAAAGTATCATTTTTAGAAACAAATCTATTATCCGTCGCTAAAATCCGTAGCTAAATCTCAGTTTTCTAGTAGTGTAAGTATAGCATATGGAGCAGCTAAAGGTTTAGAATATTTGCATGGCGAAAGAATTTACGGGAGCATGCGGCCATGCAACGTTCTCCTCACTCACGATTTTCAGCCGCTCGTAAGATGCATAAACATATGATCGTTTTATTTATTTTTATTTATAATAAACTAACGTGCATGTGGCGTAAAAAATCAGATTTCATACTACGGGCTTATAAGTGTTAACCGATACGAGGCGTTAGGACAGTCCTCGGAGAGCAGTGTAATAAGGACTTTTGAATATTTAGCACCGGAATACGAAGAAACGGGGATTGATTTGAGCAAAGCTGACGTGTACTCGTTTGGGGTTGTTCTTCTAGAACTCATCACCGGCAGAAAGACGAAAGAAGATACACATGGGCAAAGTTTCTTGAGATGGGTATTTTTTTTATTATTATTATTATTTTTATTTTTTTAATATTTACGAGGTCGAAGATATTTATACGTACGAATAAATCTTCGCAGGCAAGACCACTCTTAAGAGAAAAAAAATACAGTGAATTGATAGACCCTTTGGTACAAGATAGTGTGGATGTTTATCAACTGTATTGGTTAGTTCGTGTGGCGGATAAATGCCTAAGTTGGGATCCGAAAAAGAGATACTCTATGCGGAAGGTAATTAATTATCGTATCTTTATATCGAGAACTCGATTACGCGTACGAAAGCATATTAAAAAGAAAAAATGAAAAAAAAAATTACGACAAAATTGCTGATTAATTTTTTTTCTTTCGTATTACGACTTGGAAAACAGGTCGTGACGGATCTATCGGACATTATCAATCGTTGCGGGGTCGAGGATTTCTCTCCCACTGAATCGGAACTGTGATTTTCGAATAACGGGAGCAAATTTATGAGTTCATTTTATTCAGTCATTTTCGAGTATTCGGTTTTCTTGATGATGGAAGTTTGTATAGATAGATTTTTTTTTTTTTTTTTAAATCTATGTTGTGGGACTTGATTAAAAATCAGAAATCTGCGGAAATTTAAAACTTCAATCCTTGCCCCTAAATATACAGTTAAGCTAGCAAATTTGCAAATTAGATATGTCGATAGACCATTTCTTTTTTTTGTTTTTCGAATCCACAAGTAGTAATTAGTAATTGTAGTTAATATATACGAAAATTTCATAAAATTACACAAAAGCGAAAACCATAAAAATACATTCTTGTGAGTGAAAACAAATATAAAATGAATGAAAAAAAGAAAGCTTCTAATTTGCAGAATCACTTAACCAAACTGCTTTTGAATGTCGTTGAAAGATACTGTAGCAGATCCTCTTCTTTTCGCTCTCTGATGAGACGAGTGCTCTCTCCATCCAGTCATATATATCACCTGCAAAAAAAGGGGTAGTAAAAATCGCGTCCACGAAAAAATTAATAGATACGAAAACAAATTTTTTTTAGGGGTTTAATTTAAAAGACGTGAAAGATGAAAATATTCAAACAATCGGCTCAGTATAATGCTGACCTGGAAGGTAGCTGGGATGGTGCCATCTTCTGCAGCAAACATAGACTCGTAAACAGCTGCCGTAGCCAGCGCAGTATCTCTCGTCAAAATCTGATCCCGATTTGGAAAAAAAAAATTGAGTGCGTGAGAAACTATATAAAAAATCTGAAAGTGGAATATTTATTTATTTATTTATTTATTTATTTTAATTTTAAGATAAGTTCAAGAAAAGACGAGCGTGACAACAAATGCGTCTTACTTTGCCCCTTTGTAGTAGAGCATTAGTTTCGCCCATAGTGCGAAGATGTTCAATCAGCTCCAAAGCTACCTTAAGAGAAAATAGTAGACGGGATATTATAATTCGTCAACAACAAAAAATACAGACAAATTAGAATCGATATAAATTGAGCTCCAAATCCCGAGAAAGACCGACTTGTATGGCAAGGTTAAAACATGTGACGTACCGCTGTTATATCTCACGGTATATTCATCGACGTCAACTCCAGGAAGAGAGAAGCCTGCCCTAGTTAACAGATTCCCTGCATCACGTACCTATAAGAGAAAAGCCAGCTTTACATGCAAATAGGCACTCACATAACTTTTTTTATTTTATCGGATAACTCCATCATGAAACACTACCCTAGTTACGACTATCTTCTAGAAATCTCCTTTACGGGTAAACAAAAATGTTTCTCAGAAAAATAACGAGTTTGTATTTTTGCAGTTCATTGCCATTGATTCTCATAATCCCTTTTTACTTGCCAGAAGAGGAATGATATTTGATTTAATATACGGGAATTTCTTTGATTTGATGATTCTTGTTGAGTTTCAAATATTAATGGATCACCGTACGAGGTTGTCCTAAGCAACACTTTGTCGAAAAGTTTAAATAATCCACGACAGCAATATAAGTAGAGCATGCAGTTGGTTTAGAAATACCTGTGCCAAAGGTGACAACCTAGGACTGATGCCTCCTTCGCGTTCCATTTGGGCTACAGTACACGCTATTCTCAGCTCCCTGAAACACAAATGGATATATCCAGTTAAGCTTCTCATAAAACTGCAACGAAATCGAACTAGGTGATAAAAAAGATTTAAAAAAAAAAAAATCGAAGCTTGTAACCTTAAAGTTTCTCCTCCAAGAATAGCTCCCAAAAATAGGCCATCGGGCTTCAGGGCCAATCTACTCTGCCATAATAAGAATAATAAAACAAATGATATTATATATCTTTCCATTAAAAAAAAAATCCATTTCAAAAGAGCAAGAATAAACCTGTATCATGGCTCCAGGAAGATCGTTTGTCCAATGAAGTCCTAAGCAACTAATAACCAGGTCTAGAGAGCTACACAAGCACGCAACAAACATTTACAAAATCGCCATGCTTTTAATTACCACGAAAGCACAGAGGTAATAAGAACTACAAGATGCAGAAACCTAATTCGCATTTAGGCAAATACCTTTCCTTCACGGGCAAGAACTCTTCATCGGCGACAACGAAAGACGTTTCGACGTTTTCGTTTGGCGAATTTTGTTCGGTCTGTTTGCATAATTCCACCATGTCGTGTGAAGTATCCATCATTATAAGCTTTTCAATGCCACCTGAAAAGGATTCTGGTCATTCGAAAGTCGTAATTCTAAACGTAAGAGTTCTCCTTTTTCTTTACATTCCTTTGTATTGCAAGACGGGGTTTGCCAAATTAGCTTTGTTTTAGTACTCCCTATTCATTAGTTCATTAATCAGATAGTTAACAGTAAGTTTGTAGTCAACATTATTCAGTCGTATGGATGAACTTTCCGAGCAGTACTGCGACATAAATCTCTTTATAGTTACAATAACAGAATCTAGTTGATATAGTTAAATGAAGTTTGAGTGAACCCAAATATAAGGTAATCGCACCGACAACTAAAGATGGAACGAGAGCGACAGATTTCGACACTCACCGCGTCCGTTCAAGAGACGCCTAATTGCTGCCAAAGAACCACCCATACATAATGCTGTAGGAAATGTTTTCTTACAATCCTACAATGTAAGAAAACACAACAATGGTCAACGAATATACTGGAACCATGATACATATACAGTCAGTTTACTGACACCAGGCGCGATCAGTTCGAGAATCTGTTTTATATTCGTCCAATAACCAATACAATTATTATTAGGGTCATCTAATTTTTTTTCAATGAATTTCTTCTATCAAATTCGATTTCTGTTGTTCTACTTAACAGAAACTGAAATTCAAAAATATTTTGATTGAATTAGCTACACTATCATACTATGAAATTCAAAAATATTTTGATTGAAATTCAAAAGTAGTATCTTTTTGATTACTTTATACACTAAGGTCAACCTCGAAAAATAATGACAATTTAAATCATAGTCAAACTCAAAACATCATTTGCTCAACATTTTTATTTGCTAAAGATCAAATGTCCAAAAATAATTTCAAAAAAAAAATAATAAAAAAGGGTTTGATTTGACCTCCAATCGATCCAATAGATTTTCAGCCACTGCATCCAGCAAAGAATCCTCAGGGCGGCGCATCAACCACGCAGCTCTATCCCGCTGTAAAAAAACAAGAAATTAATTGAAGAAATAAAAACAGTAAAAAAATAAAAATGCATAAATTATAAGAAAATGTAGCAGGAAAAAAGGAGATGAGAACTTGTTTGCGCTTGAGATTGCGGTCAAAGATCTTGACTCTAGAGCTTTGTTCCGTACAGAAAAACCGAATACTGCTTCCACGCATTGCACTTCTTACCCCTCTCCGCCATATCTCTCCGCCAGCTCCCATTTTCCCAATTCTCCGGCAAAATAATTCTCTTGAGTGCCGATTCTCAATTCAAGTTTTTTTTTTTTCCGGTAGTGTTTTCTCTTTCGGTGATTCCCAGGGAATAATTGGTTGGGCCATTTGTTTTGGGCTAAAATTCGTTATAAGATTTAAGGTTGATTAATTCTTCGATCCAACAAGTAAATAAAGCCCACGAATTATTTTTTTCTGTTTTTTATTATTATTGTTATTATTATTATTATTATTATTATTATTATTATTATTATTATTATTATTATTATTATTATTATTATTATTATTACTACGGTAAATTCCATTTTCTCTCCTTGTACTTTCACTCAATAGCACTTTGTCTTTATCTACTCTCAATTGCATCGATTTGTCCCCCTTGTACTTGAAAAATGCCCCCCTTTTACTTGAAAAATTGTATCGATGTGACCCTCGACGTTAGTTTTCAGACATTTAACCTTAACACCGATTGATCTAAGTGTGAAAATTACAAAAACACCACCCCTTCCATTTTAAATAATTATTAAAAAAATAAAAACAAAAACTAGAAAATTCCATTAGAAACATAACCAAACATCTCCAATGTATCCCATTTTCTCTGAGTGGAAAAGGATCATGAATGATCTCGATTACCGACCATTCATCATCGCATATATCGCCCTGAGAATGGTAAATGCAAAACTGTGTAACGGGAATTGCCTTCCAATACAAGTCCATGGCTGATAGCAACTATTTTGCCCTCATACTCGTTCGGCAAAACATGCCTAACAAGCCCATACGTGTATGTGATTAAAGAAAACATATGGCCGCGGAAATTAGACACCAACAACACTCGATAAAAATATCTCATCTCCCGTGAACGACGTAGTTGTTGGTATGGAGACCACAGAAATTATCATTTGCAATAGTAAAATTGTTGAACTTGAATTATTCTCATTTGTCTTTATGGATTACAGAGAATGGGTTGTTAAGGAACTCGGCTTCTGACACCTAGGCGCCGAACCACAGAGAATAGAATCGAGTATAACAGCTCTATATACAAGTGTGCGTTTTTATACAACTCAAGAAAATGCACTACGAGTTTGATTTTTCGGAGAAAAACGAAAACTAATTATATGCCACGCAAGTAACTTTAGTGATTTTGAGAAAATAAATCACGAAAAGAAAAAAAGAATGAAGTTATAAAATAATAGAAAAATATAGATGCACCAGCTCAATCCCTAAAAAATATAGGTGCACCATCGGAATGCCCAAGTTTGTTTATGTCGTGTCACCTCTCCCTGTAACAAGAACCAAATTAGACACACAAGTTTAGTTTAAACCGAAATCACAGTGTGCACTCGAGATAATAACATTTTGAATACATTTCAAAACTGATTGAATTGAAGCATTTCAAGTGCGCACCTGCTCTAGAACCACAACTCCTATCTCCGATTATTACCACCACTACCAGTTGCAGGACTCCTCATAGGGACCGTAGCAGCAACTGAACCAATCGAATGCGCACGACGAAACGGATCGTCAATATGCCTCTGGAAATGAGCCACGAGGCGGTCTATATCTTTAAACATCTGTTTCCTGAACTTAAACCCCTTGGGGTACACACTTACGTACTCTTCATACGGATTGGTGTTTTGTATGTGGGTCAATAAAAATGTACCGGGATGCTCGTAACATATTCGAAAGCAGTACACGACTATCTTAGGATTCTCGGATTTTTCCTTCTTGAGGAGCTCTTCAACTTCGTTCTTGGAACCCCTCCTGAACTTGCGGTAGTTCAACATTGCCTTCAAACGAGCTACCAACGGATCTACATAACGATCCATTACCTGAATTAAGTCAAAGGGGTTACTACTTAGATTCTCGCAATTTATTTATGTATCATCAATCTGGCATTTATTTATATATCCATGCAGATGATCTATATTCAATTACCTCATCAAGATCTTCAAATGTATCCTCTCCGATTTTCAGTGTTTTCCCTATTCGAAGCAAGCTTGTGATGTTCTTGTTTTCCTTGCCACCTTCAACTATGTCCTTGTCAGCATATACACCATCATAAACTTTCAGAGTCAAAGTCAAATGTGAAAGTCCACGAGAACTCGGTCGGATGACACTTTCACCAGGATCCTTGTCTGATAGAAACTGTAAACAGAGCATCCAAAATATACGAGCATGAACAACCTCTATATTTGAGTTATATATAATATATTTATATATCTTGTGCAAAAAAAATATATATATAAAAAAAACAAAAAAGATAAATAAAAAAAGGACATGCATGCAGACACCAGAATCTAGTAGAAGAACAATTTACCTCTATTGCTTCATCAGCTGTAAAATTTTGAAAGCGAGGGTGAACAATCATCCTCGCCTTAAAATGCTTCTTCTTCGCTAGCTCCTTCACTTTCCGAGCTTTTTCTTGTGCAATGTGTGAGGTGCTCCATTCTTCACGATAGTAAGGATCCATAATCTGCTGCTTCTGGAAACGGATATTCCTCATTTCACTTTCTCTACAAGTCAAAAACGCCAAATAGCGATTCTTCTGAATTGATTTGATTCTGCAAGTCAACGTATCACCTTCATGCAGCTTATCGGTCAATTTATTGACATCCCTCCAATCATCTGCGTAATCTTCCTTCCTAAGCATGCCAATCAATCCATATTCAAGGACGCAAGTCGCTTCATGAGGTTGCACCTTGTGCACCGTCGCTTGCACAACTCTTCCCTCGGAAACTGCTTCTTCAGTCTCTCCTAAGATCATGTAAAACTCTTCGTCCTCACTCAGACCTACGTACGGTCTCCGCCTATCCTGAAAGCCTTTTATCAACTCCAATTTTATATCATTAAGGGTTTCTTTTTTGTTCAGGCGATTTTTCTGTCCAGCATATTCACGAACATCCACAGCCCTCAATAAGTGAGGCTTCTCTCTTACATGCTCGATTGCCATTTCCAGCATATCCTCATCATCATCATCATTTGCATCACCGTTCCCATCTTCACAGTAAATATCCTTAGCCAAATCTTTTGCAAGGCTGTAAGATTCTGGATGTATTCGTGTGTCGTCTAGCAAATCAATGTATTGACTACTACTGGAAGTCAATCCGCTCCGTCGGACTCGAACGAATCCAACAGCATTGATGAAAACCTTTTTACCTAGACCATGGGATGTTAACAAGTCTTTCCTAGTGAAAATGGGTCCTGCTTTTACTAGAGACCTTTGTAGAAAAGCTGCTTTTCTTGGCCCAAGCCCAGAAATAAATTGAAGAGGTGCATACAACCATTCGTGACTGGAAGCCAAATTAAGATCAAGACCTACTTGGTTCGTTACATCCACCATAACTTGTTCAACCATCCCATACTTCTCATCTGGAGTAAGAAAGTTGTCCAACGGATTAAGTTTCCAAGATAATATCTCCCTTCCTGGTCCACACAATGTGGCAACCATGGATAGTGGATTCTGAAGATATCGTCCAAGAGCCACAGCACGCCTAGTTATGCCTAAAATCAAAACAAATATAAAACACCACGGTTATATTGCATAAAAAACATCTAAATAAAATTTCGGGGACAAACAATAGGAAACAAGGAATTAGGGATAGCATAAAATAAAGAATAGATTTTTCTCCAACTTTATCGCATAGAATTATGTAAATAAATATATGACATACCTTCTTGAGAAGGAAGTTGATCAACTGATATGCGAGAATTTTCATACAGATGTGGGAGAGACTCATCACCATAGACAATATTCAAGTTATCCATCTCGTCGCTAACATCTCTAGGACATTTTTCCACCATCTTGAAGATTATCTGATAAAGGATGTGGACACAAGAATACGAAGTCTCAAATATCACATCCAAGAAGACATAGTAGTGGAAACAATATGTAAAAGAGATAAAATTTAATTATGAATACCTCATAAATATTCTCCTTCAGCCGCCTACAAGACAAATTAGCTGCTCCTAGAACGACCACGTGTGGCTGGTGGTCCATCATAAATTTTTGCACTCGCTGCTGATCATTTTTCTTCCGTTGCTGTTCATCAACACTCTGACCACGAAGACTGAGCGAACCAGCATGAAGTATATCTAATACTTCTCCAGATGAATCCAACATTACGAAAGTAGTAGCTGGCTTGCCAGGGCCCCAACAGCAAGCCATAACCCTGGGTGCAGTTTCTTCATCTGAACTGACATCAGTTTCTTTCCGCTGGTATGGTGCAACAGACACTTTATCCCACAACAGCTTTACTGACATCAGTTTCTTTCCGATTTTGCCCTACTATTCAACAATGATCTCGCTTCCTTTGTCATTGAAGGCAGAAGAAATTTGTCGAACGCATCACGAAGTAACAATGATCTCGCTTCCTTTGTCATTGAAGGCAGAAGAAATTTGTCGAACGCATCACGAAGTATCAGAGTTCTCTGCTCGTTCCATAATTGAGCGGATTTACTAACACCGTCACTCAAATAATAATCTTTCGAATCGTTTATTAACTTATCAAGGACTACTTCCGGCAGCTTGATTGTAACCTGCAAGAGCTTCTCCTCTTCTGCTTTCTGGATTAGAAGCCATTGTGCGTCCTCAAATCTGGAAAGTGGTTTTTCCCGCAACCACTTCACTCCAGCAAACTGGTGAAAGGAATCAATAGCTGTGTTTCCATCAGGTGTGGGACTAGTTGACAACACGGCATTATCCATAAAGATACTCCGGACATGCTTCCGAACACATGGTTCACAACTGATCTCAACTGATGCCTGGATTTATTATTGATTTTATAAAGTTAGCCCGTACAATTGAACACCATATTAAAATATCCAAAGTACAAGAATGAGTCAGTAACTTTCACATACCATGTGCCTCGCACCGTTCAACACAGCTTCAGGTGTCTCGAACATTGCACAGGTGAAATTGGAAGCCATTTCCTCTGGTGTTTCCTTCGCATCCTCCAATTCATCCATCCTCTGCGAAAAACACAACTCAGTTAATCTAAATCTTAAAACAAGGCCAGTTAGAAACTAAAGTAAATTAAATCCACCATTTTCTCTAGAGAAATC